CTCCCTAGGTAACCCACTCCAATGCTTCACCACCCTCCTAGTGAAATAGTGTTTCCTAATATCCAACCTAGACCTCCCCCACTGCAACTTGAGACCATTGCTCCTTGTTCTGGAGCTTCTTTGTGTCAGGAGAATAGCAAATGTTTTGAATATTCTTATCATCTATGGCTTCCTGGTGAACAAACTGTTAGATAAAAAGACTAGTTAAGAGTCATTACATTATATGATTTTTTCTACCATTTTACTACAGGTGAATTCACCTGTTAGCAGTGGACTTAGACAAGGCCTTCATGCAGCTCCAGGGTACATAAATGCAAGGAAGGTGTAGGCAAAGCAGCTGCATTGAGGCCCTCTGCATTTAGATAAATGAACATAGGGGGTATGCTACGTGTCAGCATCATACATGCCAGCATGGAAGGGAGCACTGGAATGGAACAAGATAAAGGATACTACAGCTGTTCTTACATGGATACAATGGATAGAAAGGTGGAACAGAAAGGCTACTAGTTCAGGAAGTAGAGCTGGAGTAGAAATCACAGAGGAACTGCTGCACTAAAAAAGTCTACCACCAGGTTGGCGAACAAAGTTTTTTGAACTCCTGAACTCAGATTTGTGCAGGAGAATTTCACCTTTAACATGTTACAATATTTATAGCCATTACAAAAGTGATTTGATATGTAGACTGAAATATTATCTTTACTAACTCATCCACTTCCTGAAACTCCTAGATTAAAAAAATTGTAAGCAATACATACATTTTTCTTGAAAGCAATTTATAAATACAATTTTGGCTGACTTGTGAGTAGGTTGAGTATAGGGGTAAGTCCAGAACAATATTATCTTCTGCTTAATTCCCTACTCAGAGTTACAAAAGTGAGAGGTGTATTCATGTTTTCTAGAGAAAGAACATTGCAACATTTTGTCGCATTTAATTCATTATCAAAAGTAAGAAGCTGAAGCAATAAGAAGAGAATCTGTGGATTATGTAAGTCACTTACTGGCATATTCATATAGGTACAGTTATTACATCTTCAGCAGAATATCTAAACTAGAGTTGCACCTTCAAAGTTCTTGGGTCAAGTCAGTGCTTATTAAGGGCATGTCTACACTACGAAATTAGGTCGATTTTATAGAAGTCGATCTTTAGTAACCAATTTTATACAGTCAATAGTGCATGTCCCCACTAAGCGCATTAGGTCGGCGGAGTGCGTCCTCAATACTGTGGCTACCATCGGAGTGGTGCACTGTGTGGGTAGCTATCCCACAGTCCCCACTGCCCATTGGAATTCTGGGTTACGCTCCCAATGCCTGATGGGGCAAAAACATTGTCGCAGGTGATTTTGGGTACATGTCATCTCTCTCCCTCCCTGAAAGCAACAGCAAACAATCATTTAGCACCTTTTTCCCTGGGTTATCCGTGCAGATGCCATAACATGGCAAGCATGGCGCCCGCTCAGCTACGCACTGCTTTTGTGAGCATTGTAAACACCTCGCACATTATCCTGCAGTATGTGCAGAGCCTGGCTAGGAGCCGCCAGCACAGCATTGTGAGGAGGACATGGACACAGAAGTTCCTGAAAGCAGGGGATGTGGCAATTGGGATATCATGACGGCATTGGGGCATGTTGATACAGTGGAACACTGATTCTGGGCCTGGCAAACAAGCAAAGACTGGTGGGACAACATAGTGTTGCAGGTATGGGATGATTCCCAGTGGCTGCAAAACTTTCACATGCGTAAGGTCACTTTCATGGAACTTTGTGAGTTGCTTTCCCGGCCCTGAAGTGTAGGAATACCAAGATGAGACCTTCCCTGACAGTTCAGAAGTGAGTGGCGATAGCCCTGTGGAAGCTTGCAACGCCTGACTGCTTGCAACGCTGGAGTGGGCAAATCTACCATGGGGGCTGCTGTGATCTAAGTAGCCAAAGCAATCAATAACCGTCTGCTAACAAAGGTAGTGACTCTAGGAAATGTGCAGGTCATAGGGGATGGCTTTGCTGCAATGGGGTTCCCTAACTGTGGTGGGGCAATAGATGGAACGCCTATCCCTATCTTGGCACTGGACCAAGATACTTCTCAAGGGATACTTCTCAATGGTGCTGCAAGCACTAGTGGATCACAAGGGCTGTTTCACCGACATCAATGTGGGTTGGTCGGGAAAGGTGCATGACGCTCGCATCTTTCGGAACTCCGGGCTGTTCAAAAAGCTGCAAGAAGGGACTTTCTTCCCAGACCAGAAAATTACCATTGGGGATGTTGAAATGCCAATAGTTATCCTTGGGGACCCAGCCTACCCCTTGCTCCCATGGCTCATGAAGCCGTACACAGGCAGCCTGGACCACAGTAAGGAGCAGTTCAACTATAGGCTGAGTAAGTGCAGAATGGTGGTAGAATGTGCCTTTGGATGTTTAAAAGGGCGCTGGCACTGTTTGCTGAGTACATTAGACCTCAGCGCAACCAATATTCCCATTGTTATTGCTGCTTGCTGTGTGCTCCATAATATCTCTGCAAGTAAGGGGCAGACGTTTATGGCAGGGTGGCAGGTAGAGGCAAATCGCCTGGTGGCCAATGTTGAACAGCCAGACACCAGGGCAATTAGAAGAGCACAGCTAGACGCACTGCACATCAGAGAGGCTTTGAAAAACAGCTTTATGACTGACCAGGCTATGATGTGACAGTTGTGTGTGTTTGTCCTTGATGCAAAACCATCCCCTTTGGTGAATGTACTTCCCTGTAAGCCAATCCCCTCCCCTCTTCTACCACAGCTGGCAAAGGAAATAAAGGCCCTAGTGTTTTGACTCCGTTCATTCATTCTTTATTTATTAAAAAAAAAAATTGAGATCACTGACAATGCTGACTAGTAAAAGGTAGCCCAGGTGGGGTGGGGGAGGAGGGAAGGACAAAGCCACATTGCTTATTGTAGCCACACTACAAATCAAAGCTGTTTGAATGACAGCCTTCTGTTGCTTGGGCCATCCTCTGGAGTGGAGTGGAGTGGAGTGGCTGGGTGGCCTGGAGTTCCCCCTCCCCCCCCCCCCCCCCCCCACCGACGTATATGGAACTTGGTGAGGAGGGCAGGCAGATGGATGCAGTGAGGTTCTGTACTCTAGTTGCCTTTCCTGCAGCTCCACCAGATGCCTCATCATGTCCATTTGCTCCCCCCTTAGCCTCAGCATCTCCTCCTGCATGTTCTGATCATGCTCACTGTATGCTTTCCTGGCCTCTGCCACCAAATGCCTCCATGCATTCAGCTGTGCACTATCCACACGGGAGGATTGCATGAGCTCTGAAAATATGTCATCACGAGTGCATTTTTTCCACCTTCTAATCTGCAATAACCTCAGGGACAGAGTTGATAAGGGGAGCATAGAAACATTTGCGGCTGCAGGGGGGAAAAAGGGAGAGTACATTTAAGATGATACATTTCTGAGAACAAAAGGGAGACTCTTTCACAGTGAATCAAGCAATTCACAGCAGAGAGCACATGTATTTTAGGTACAAGATCGCTTTTTGCCTTTTATATTGAGCGCCTGCCAGTATGGTGACACATCACACACAGCTGGGCAACAGAATTCGGTTTCTAGGCAGCCATGGTAAGCCAAAAGGTACGCGGCGTTGGCTTCGTCCGCCTTCATAACATGTGGGTATGCTTTCAAACTGCAGCACACTCCTTTCCCATAGCAACCAATGCCAGTTGGTTTTGCCATTTAAAAAGAGGGCCTGCGGTTGCCATTTAAAAGAAGGGGCTGCGGGTTTCTGGGTGGAAACCCCTCCCCCCCACATGGCTATTCTCCTGGATGATCCCTTTTAGCCAAGCGCAAACAGCCCAGCATGACGGGGATCTAATGTGCCGGGGATCACCAAACAGAGGGGATTACTTTCCCTTACAAAAATTCCCCTATTTCAATCAAGTGACCATGAATGATATCACTCTCCTGAGGCTGACACAGAAAGATAAAGACCGAATGCGACCAAAACCCAGGACCATTCGCTGGCATGCTTTGTGCTGCAATGATTCCAGACTACTTGCTACTGGCTTGGTGTGGTAAAGTGTCCTACCATGGAGGACGAAATAAGGCAGCCCTCCCCAGAAACCTTCTGCAAAGGCTTTTAGAGTACCTCCAGGAGAGCTTCATGAAGATGTCCCTTGAGGATTTCCACTCTATCCCCAGACATGTTAACAGACTTTTCCAGTAGCTGTACTAGCTGCGAATGCATCCCAATTGTTCAGGGAAAATCAAACATTAAACACAATTGCTTTTAACCCCTGTAGTGTAGTTAGAAATGTGCACTCACCAGAGGTGCCTTCTCCGTCTTCAGGTCCGGGAACAATTCGCCCTGAGAGGGTATTGGCTCCAGGGTGATGAAAAGGTCCTGGCTGACGGGGAAAACAGATTCTCCGCTTGCCTGCTGCGCATTCTCCTCCTCCTCCTCCTCCACGAAATCCTCATCCGTGTTGCGTGAGGCTCCCCCCTTGCAGGTATCCACGGACAGTGGTGGGGTAGCGGTAGGCTCCTCCCTTAGAATGGCATGCAGCTGATCATAGAAGCGGCATGTCTGGGGCTCTAACCCGGAATGAACGTTTGCCTCCTTTGTTTTTTGGTAGGCTTGCCTGAGCTCCTTAATTTTCACACAGCACTGCTGTGTGTCCCTGGTGTAGCCTCTATCCATCATGCCCTGTGCGATTTTGGCATATATATCAGCATTTCTTCTGCTGCATCGGAGTTCTGCCTGCATAGATTCTTCTCCCCATACAGCAATCAGATACAGTGTCTCCCGTTCGCTCCATGCTGGAGCTCGTTTGCGATTCTGGGACTGCGTAGTCACCTGTTCTGCTGAGCTCGCCACACTGACCAAACAGGAAATTAAATTCAAAAGTTCCCGAAGCTTTTCCTGTGTTCCTGGCTAGTGCATCAGAGTTGAAAGTGCTCTCCAGAGTGGTCACATTGGAGCACTCTGGGATAGCTCCCGGAGGCCAATACCATCGAATTGCACAGCGCTGCGTCTGCACTACCCCAAATTCGACCCAGGAAGGTCAATTTTAGCGCTACTCCCCTCGTCAGGGAGGAGTACAGCAGTTGATTTTAGAGCCCTTTAGGTCAGCGGAACGGGGTTGGTTGTGTAGCCGCACTGCTTATAAAATGGACCTAACGTAGCTAAATTCAACCTAACCTCATAGTGTAGACCAGGCCTCAGGCAAAATTCACATTGAACTCATATGTTGCTGAAGTTAATGGGTATACCAGGTATCAGTCAATGGGGCCCCAACCTGTGTAGGGATTTCCTCTTGGCTTAAGAGGGGAACTAACTCAGGAGATACTCTGTCCCTTCAGTAGCTGCCCCAGCCCAGTTTCGCATGTTTGGCTCCCTTCACTAATGAGGGTAATGGGGGAGGGAGGTTGCAGGTTATGGGTATCCAAATATGGACTTCAAGATCTGGTCCTATTTATAACAGACAGACAATAATTTAAGGGGTAGTTGTAGCCATCTCAGTCCCAGAATATTAGAGAGACGGTGGTGCTTTTATTGGACTAACTTCTGTTGATGAGAGAGACAAGCTTTCGAACTACACAGAGCTCTTCTTCAGATCTACAAAACGTACTCTCAGCAGCACAGCTAATGCAAGGTGGAACGCATTGTTTAGCATAAGAAATTAGCACATATTCTAAGGAACCATTCAAGGCAGAGTGGCCCGTTAACATCTCTTCAGTCATAGGACAAAATGAGGGTTAGTCAGGGTTACAGGTTGTTGTAATAAGCCATAAATCCAGTGTCTCTGCTCAGTCCATGATTTTTAGTGTCCAGCAGAGTTACAAATTTAAGCTTTCCTGCTTGTCTTTTAAAAGCGAAAAGTGTTTTCACAAAGCCGTCATTCTGTCTGACCTATTAGTCCTCGTCCTTAAAGGAAATCTGCACAACACTTTTTGAGACCTGAAGAAGAACTGTGTAGCTTGAAAGCTTGTCCCTCTCACCATCAGAAGCTGGTCCACTAAAAGATGTTTCCTCACCCACCTTGTCTCTAGTAATTTTATGAAGCAATTGAGACAGTCCCTTAATGTTCCAGTAGCTTAACTGCATTTTTTGTGGAATATATTTTAAAAATTCCTCTCATAGCTTTTTAATATCAGAAACATTTGACAAATTATGCAAAACTTAGTCACAGTATCAAATAATTTATAAATATACATTATTTTTATATGGAATAACAGCCCAGGGTAGCATCACCACAGATAGGGACCTCATTAGTTGGCGTGAACCACCCTAATCCAAAGCAGGAACCTGAAAAAGAACAAAATGTATTAATTATATGAAAAGATCATAAAACCCTCCTCTTTCTCTGTTAATATCTAAATATTTTACAGAAGCAATTAACTTGAATAAGACCAGACAAGCCTTAAGCAATCAGACTGAGTCACGCACAGATTTTTAGACATCCACTTTGTATTGCTTTTTCAAACATCTGTTGCTTGTCAGCCTCTCTAAAATCATATCAGTGGTTTTCCTTAATGAATGAGGAGTACTTTAGAAATATTCTTACATTCCCGGTTGATTTCCAGTACCTCTGTAGAGTCTCCAGACCATAGGATTTAAGACTAGATTTTCATGTGAGTTCATTTAAAGCAAATAAGGACCAAACAGACACTATTAAAAGATTGCAGAATGAGGGACAGATGGTCTGAGAGGCCAAGACTTGAAAAGACAGGCTGATATGTCACTGAGAAAAATTGGTACATAAAAGTCATCCAGGTCTTTTATTTAATAAAAGCAAAAAACAAACAAACCTAGTTAAGTGAGACGGATGATGGATGATCTCAGGAAGCAAACTAAAGCAGAGCAAAACTGGAACCCAGCTACAAGTCATCCCTGCTGTGGTAATATTTTGTTCCTGCAGATGGAACTGTGTGGTTGAGTGCAGTATGAGATAGAGTCTAGCTATGACAGGACTGTAGACAGACAAGCATGTCACTATGCATGAAGCCTGTTTGGTTGGTGCCCTGAGTAGAAAATACCACCACAGGGCTCATATTGGGGAAGACAGTTACACTATGGCCCTTCCTCCCCCAAACAGCAATACTGTGTACCCACAAACAGTGGTAATATCTTCTCCCAAGTACTGTTCTGCTCTTCTTAACTGCCAGCAAAGAGAAGTGGGATGTAGCATGCCACTCCATATGTGAGCACAGAAGGGTCCCAAAATACTACAGCCTATAGTAATGTTACTATAATTTTTTTTTTGGGGGGGGGGGAAGGGGGAAGGCCTCATTGCTACAGAATACTGTACTATTATTTTATCAGTGCTCTATGAATGGGATTGACTACAACTGCTCCTCCTCCAAAAACACATCCTGTTGGCCAAGAACCCTCATGGGTGCGCTCCATGTTTCCGGAGGCAGACATAGTTTACATAAAGTTCAGGTCTGTGGTATACTACTGACCCTCCCCCCAACACACACTGTGTACTGTCTTGTTCTCAGCTGCAACCCCAGTGCCTGTAAACCATCTTAAAGGCCTACCACCATTCTTCAGACCATTTAATTGTGATCCACTCTTGGTAATGTCATCAGAGTCACCAACTGAAGATCTGACCCACTGTCTATTAAAGTAAATTTAATTATGTAATATTAACTTGTATTTATCATATATTTAAAGGATATGCAAAACCTAAATATATAGGGCTTCTGATTTTTGGTTTTAACCGATAAACACAGATTTAAAAAACTTGATCCAAAACAAAGACGCAATTTGTGTTTATACAATAAGTGTTGGAAAAAACACCAAAAATCGTTACTTGTATCTAAGGGCTTGTCTATACTGAGCAATAATGTTGTCTACAGAGGTGTGATTTCTGACATGCACTAAAGCACTGTGCATTAATTGGTCCACCCTGCTTAAAGGTTCCCCAATGCACTTTAACAGAGTACTGTTTGAAAAAGCACCACATTAAAGCGCACCAGGGAACATTACAGAGTGATTACTCACTACAGTATATACAAAGAGAAACCTGTACAAACAAACAAACAAACCTCAATTTTTGAACTACATAAAACTCAAAAATGGCTAAAAATAACTCCTCACAAATGAAATTAATAAACAGATAAAAATAGAAGCCCTAAATATATAAAATACAAGTAATGAATCCATTTTGACACTTGATGGCAGTATTATAACCCACTTAGTACTATGATATATGTGGATATGAAACAATGGGATGTAATACAATCAGACATTGCAGTTCAACTGGAGGTAAACAGTCACGATCTCTTGAACAACCATGTTCCACTCCTAGATCTGTCACTGACTCACATTGAGCCTTGTACAAGTAATAACTTCTGCATGCTTCTGTTTCTCTACCTGTGTAATAAGGATAATTACACTTTCCTCCTACCTATCTCACATAAAGATTTATTAATCTTTGCACAATGCCTTAAAGATATGTGTTTGCTATATATATTTACATACCATTTATAAAAGTGCTAAGTAGTATGTTATCTAGGTTGCTAGTCAGTATATTGTCATTATGTAATTCCCCAAAAAACAGCACATCAACAAAGAGTAAATTCACCTATTTTAAAAATCTATGTACAGGACGCTTTTTCCTACCCTCTTTCAAATATATGACACCATCATATCTCCAAGATTTTTGCTTTATTTTCTTACAGGCTCATAAATTTGAGCCATTAAAATATGGAGAAAGAAATTATCCTTGTTATGCGGCAAGTGATTAAGTTAGAAAAACATATAGACTTACTTTTGGTAAAATCATCTGTAGGGTTCAGTTTCTGAGAGGTTCATATCTGTTGCAATTTTTTGGTGTGAATCTTAATCCAATTCTTAAAATTGAAACAATGAAAAAAATTCAATAGAAGGCTAGCAAATATCGCATCAGACTTTTCAGTAAAATAACTTATAATAAAGATAAAGTGATTTGTCCATTACTAGAAAAGATATGTTCTTATTATTATGCTTTACACATTTTTTCTTTTGCATGATGAGTGATAAATAGCTGTCTGTCTCATTATCTTACATATCTATTGATTAAGGGGAAGAGAATGGGACCATTCAAAAATGTACCACCCTGAAACTCAATCCCATTTGTGACAGTGTACCTCATAAGGCTTTATTGGGAGGGGGTGCTTATAAATGTATGTATGACATAACTGGAATATGTTTTGTTCTGCCTGTGCCATGTAACATATCTCCGTAAAGGTTATGGTCTACTATATCTATTCCTCCTATTTGTAGAAGTATGTCATCAGCACCTCAGAGTAAAAAGGCTATGCTG